TGGCGATGGTGCGCAGCGCAGAAAATCCTCCATGTTCTTCGGGATTGTTCCGTGTTGCTTACCGACTCGAAAGCAACCGTGCGAGAAACATCTCTCGGGTAAACGGGGAGGAGGTGGCAAATGTGGTTCATGGGGAGGTTCATTGTTGTTGCCGTGGTTCCCACCACCACCGGTCCCCGCACCGTTAGCTCCGGTCTCGGCGTGACTTCACACGTGGTTCGGCGAGTGTTTGTCATCTCGTGATATTTCAAGCAACAAGTAACGATTGAGTGAAAGCTGTAATGATTATGAGTGAAGGAAAATTATGCCGTACTGAATTTACTGGAGAGAATAAATTCATGCAATAAAACAGAGGCACAACAATCTCATCCCAATTAAGACAACAACACTTAATCGAATTACTTCAATGGCAAACATCGCATCCATACGGTCACATTGCCAAAGATACATACATCGGACTTTTTATGCGTTCGAGATATCGCATCGAACATCAAGTTCCAACCACATGCCAAGTCTCATACGTTCGAAGCAACATACGATAGGTTACATGCCAACAAAAGAAAGGTCGTCGCGACAGGACCTAGATACTAGCGCAAGGCAACTAGCCTATTCCTTGGGGCCATCGTCGGGATCGGAGACGTCACCGTCGCCTCCAGGTGAAACTGCAGGCTCGTCCTGGTTGTCGTCGTCGATGTCCATGCCAGCGGCGTTCGATGGAGCATATGGGCCAACCCCATTGTAGAGCGCGTGAAACTCCTCGTGCAGGTTGCCGTTGTATTCCTCTAGCTCATCGACTCTCTGCAGCAGAAGGTTTCTTGCGTTCCAGGCTTCATTCCTCTCCTGAACCAACTGTCCAATCATGCGGTCTCGCATTGTTGTTGGCTTGAGTCAACGATGCACTCATTTGCATAGCTCTATCACCTCTCACAACCGCCGATCTCACAGAAGTTCATATCACCAACCGCTCACTCCCGCAAGCTAGCTATAGCACGTGCTCGTCTCTTCTTCTCGCTTCTTCCTTTGAGCTTATCCTCATCGCGCAAGCTAGTCAAAGTCCGAAGAGGTACTCTCGAGACCTTCATACGCTCGATGGCGGCGAACATAGCACTCATTGCACGGTTGTCGCTAGCCCGCCCCTCATTTGGACCTCTGACCAATGCACTTCGAGGCTGAACCCAAATGGCATCATGAGGATCATCCCTAGGAAAAGTACCAGCTAGAGCTGCTGCAAGCTCACTGGGAAATCTGCTCATAATGTCTCGATGACACGGAAGGTGCTCCCTCTGCACCCTCGGTGGAGTGCGACCTCAAACTCAAGTGCCAACCATCCCAAACTGGAGCATCACCGAGAGCAGGAACCGTGATCTCCACCACTGCAAGTCCATCCTCTCGCTAATCGGCTCTCATTCCAAGAGTACACACCGGCTCTTGACCCTCTGGGTACCCCACATCATGGAGCACTCTCCAAAGCAAAGTTGGCATGCCAAACTCGCTCAAGAAGGTGTCCGTGGTGCGGTGCTCCCTCAGGCCAACGGACATCGAGGTGCTCTTCCTCCGGTGGACTTACGGGTGATCGCTTCGTAAGGGCCATCTCAGAGTAAAAAAGTTCTTTCATTACCTCGGGGAAACATATTTTAGGTGATACCACTTTTATCAAAATGAGAGAATCAATTTATAGGGGAGGAATGCATGACATGAATGAAATGCACAAGTAACATGATGTATGTACGCACATGCACGTTCTCACAAACTTAGGAATAAATATTTTCTAACGACGAATTCGGTGGCATACAACGATCTCTCAATACGTAGCTAATACGTTCTACACGATAAGCGTTGTTATGTACCGCAGAGATTCATTTCAGCCCAATTCCCAATGAATGCATAAAAGCAAGTAAAGTTTTATCTACACGCTCTACACGAATCCCGAGATATGTGTACAACGGTAGTAACTACTCCGAACCATCGCCCTATTGACGGCATCGCCTCCACAGACGGAAGACCCATACATGAGATACCTTTGTAAAACATGCGTAGAACATGTAATTACTCCAAAGATCGTATAAGCACTCACCCTAGATCGGTGGTGTATCCGATCATGCTCTCACAACTCACACTTACCGAGGCGTGAGGTAAATGATCCATACATTACCACTCAAATAAGTGGCACTCATACAATAGCACGCCGTATGTATGATTTAAAGAGAAATATGATGCAAGAACCCCAAGTCAGTACTTAATTAAGCCACCTAAAGTCCTTAACTGGGCATAAGGGATATGATCACTGGCACACTTTATATTTTTAAAATCACATTTTCCAAATGCCTTTTTGTTTGAAATACACTTGTGAACAGTAACACGCTAAACCATGCTCTGATACCAGCTGTAATAGAACCGACCAATTATACGAAATTAAGTAAGAAAATCATCCGCCAGAGCAAACGATTTAGCAAACTTAAGCCCGTATAACCCGGTAGTCCGTGAAATCGCGAAGGATTTCAAACCAACTTCCATTCCAGCCAAGATCGTAATAAGTTTAGCGGTCACCATCACATATTACATAAAAGTTCGCAATCTCAGATACATCAGAGTTTAAACATAGTTATTACAAACCTGTTCGAATAAAAGTAGCGGAAGCCATTTGTTCAAACCACACACACTCACGCGGAGTTCAAATATAGTGCCAGCGAATGATCATCTCCAACAAAAGCATTAGACGAGACGTAAGGAATGACCATGCCCATGGTCCTAAGCATCACCCATCACAGGATAAAGGCAGTTGATACAATAGCCGTAATACATCTGCCCATCTGCAACAAGTGGGAATAAAACCCTGAGTACGAGAAGGTACTCAGCTAGACTTACCCGACATAACCGAAAATAAATGACTCCAAGTATTATGAAGGCTTTATAATAGGGTAGCTGACTCATTTGCAAAAGAAGCATTTTTAGCATTTTAAGAACCTTTCTAAAAGCATTATTGTCAAGTTAATTAGTATTAACCTGTCGACTAGATTTGCACCTATACTAGAGTAAACATGTGATTAAGCAATTAATGATAACCACTGATCATTAAACAACTTCCATACTGTCATATTCACTATAACTGTCCAAGTGTTCCATAAACATTTACTACGATGAAGTCACTTAAGTCAAGTGCTCACTATCCAGGAGCGATGGCGATTCGAATCGATTCCTAACCAGCTGGTGATTTATTCCTTACACAAATCTCACTCACCCGCTAAAGTGAGATATTGATCACCGAGTCAACTTTCCGGTATCTCGAGTTTGCCAGAACCACATGTACCGGGGCCGACTGAGGCTACACTTTGGTCTTATCATCCGCCGCCCCGTGTCCTACCACACCTGCTTGCACGCAGTCTAAGGCTGCATGGGCAATCTACTCGGCCCGAAAAATCTCCCCACCAGCGGTCGGAAGGTACTTTATCCCGCCCGACTAAATGTAAGGCATGCGTTCAACATGACTCGAGGCCCAACAACGGTCGGTCCTTAATCGACCTGCACGGAAACACTACGGTTCAAAAAACTCGCAAGTCTCCGCCCGGTCTCAACTTCATTTAACACTTAGTTATACCATGACTTCATAGCCATCCAAGCGAGATCCGGTAACCACCTATAGCTCGCGGTGTGGAAATCACCCGACTTCTACCGGTCTAAGCCGGCTAAGCATTGACTCGATTGCGGATACTGTGGTAACAAGGATATAGTATAACAAAGGTAAACAAGGTATAATGCAAGACAGCGGTTGCAAACAACTCCTGAACGTAATGCATCAATTTAAAGTAAAGCATTTAATGAAATCATTGCGCATCGGGAGAAAGATGCTCGGGGCTTGCCTCTCTCGAAGGAGCTCTAAGGCGGTGATCGGGGCACTCAGGAAGTTCTTCAACGTCCTCCTCGTCGGCTTCGGCACTTTCTCTGCGCCGCACTCGAATCGCTCCTCGGGCTCCTCGGGAATGACGACTGGGTTCTCGGTTTGCGATCCTGTATGATGCAATGCGTGTAAGTGCCTATGCAATCGGTGCATCGAAGGAGATGAATGCAATGGATATGTTGAAAAGCAAGGTAGTCAACATCATCCAAGAAACTATGCTACAAGCACATGTCATCTACTGCATTCTCTTCTACTACCAATATGTTAAGTCAACATATTTTATTAAATGCTTCAAAGATACACCAAAGCTTTACTAATTTCTTAATCACACTTAAGGCAACACTTGCTTAAACCCTAATTAATAATAGGTTTGAATAGCAACATATATTTCTGATGCTCCTAAAAATCTGAGAAAAATACAGTAGCATAATACTACCCTAAATGGACTACCATAAAAATTTCATGGCATTTGGATAAGTAAACTATCCTACATAAAAATGACAAGCTATAGCATAAAAATGAGCATGAAATTACTTTGTACTATGAAAAGTGTCAAACAATAGATTGGGTATTTTTCCTATGTTCTTTATAGTATATAATCACTGTACAAAAATTGTCACATGCATGTTTTATACAAAATTTGTGCTCTAGCAAAAATAACAAAAATCAGCCATTAAAGGTACTTGAACTACATCTCAAAATTTTCCCACAGCACATGCATGAAACATATTTTTCCTAGGAAGTACATGACATAAGAAGATTAACAAACTTGGAATCATATTTTTCTGAAGCCTATAGAATTTTCTACATATTTTTCAAGTTATCCGCAATATTCAAGATTAAATAAAATTCTACAGCAAAGTATCTCAAAAATGACATGCACAAATTTTCCCTAGCAGATCTGATGATAAGGAACCTAGGAAAATTTGTTTCAACAATTTTGGAGCAAGTTTGAGCACCCAAACATTTTTCAAACCATTTCAGATTTCAAATACTAAAGAATAAATGAAAACAAATCATGTAAACAATGCTGGGCCGGCTCGCTGGAAACAACTGGCCCACGGCCGTTTTCGGCCTGCACGGCCCGAGCGAAAGGAGGAGCGCAATGCTGGCAGAGGCTTCGCCCACTACACTTTTTGCTGGCCGGCCCTACCGGGTTAGCTAAGGCAGAGAGGACTCTCACGGGGAGGCACACATGGGTGGCGACGATGGCTGCTTTCGCCAAAGACCAGCGGCGGCCATTATCGGCTGGGCTAGGGCAAGCGAGCGAGCGCAGGAGGTTCGCGAGGCAATGGAGAATGCGGGCAGACAGCTAAGCATGGCTGAGAAGGGGAGGAAGGGGACGTTCCACGGCGGCCGAGCAAGGTGGCGCCATGGCCGACGGCGGCGAAGCTTGGAACAAGCACTACCTTGGCTCAAACGACGGCAGACAACCATGAGCACCGTGTGTCGGAGAGTGAGGCGGAGTTCTTGGTGCTAGGAATCGGAGAATGAGGCGCGGAGGAGGAGGAAATCGCCATGGAGTCTGGCAGGTGATGGGGGCGAGCGGGAGGCTCTCGGCTCTGAGGGGAGAAGAGGAACGCGGGCGAGAGTGAGCGAGCGTGGGCACCAGCAGTGAAGGCGGGCGATGCATGCGGTGTCGTCATGGTGCCATGGCTGCATGGCAAGGCGACGACGCCAAGACGTGGTCGCCACGGCGAGAGCTTCTCGAGGCGGTCATGGCGTGGGAGAAGAGCCAGTGCCACTGCAGCAGCAATTGGGCCGAGGCGAGGTGGGTTGAACGGGAGCAGTGGCAGGAGGCGGCCAGGCCGCTGTGCGGGTGGGCCGAAGAGGCGAGCGGCGGCCCATGAAGGAGAAAAACTCTTTTTCATTTATATTTTCAAGAACTTTTTAAAAGCCAGCTTTCAAATCTTATTTTGAGCAAGAAGATGACCTCTTTTGAAAATGTACCAAAAATGAAAGTTGCTTAGAATTTAATTCTCTACAACTTTTCTTTTAGGACCACAGCCAAATTCTTTCTAGATTTTGAATTGTAAGATCAAAGTCCACGTTTAGCTCAAAACCCTAATTTTTGGAATTTATTTTTGAAGCCAAATTTTGAATTAATTTGAATACAAACATTGCTCCAAAAATTGAACTAAACATTGCTAGATGATTTACAATAGTAGCCAAACATGTTTTGCTAACCTAGCAAGAAAAATTTAGGGTAAAACAATCCTTAAACAGGTGTATGCAACATCTAGGTTTCACGCATGTTTCAGATGTTTCAAAGCAATGTTTCAATTGTTATTCACACGATTAAGCATGTATGATTTGGATGCTTGATGATGCATGATATGCGTGATTTGCAGTGCCTAAATGTAGGCATAACACCGGGGTGTTACAGCAATGAAACACCTTATAACATTGGTGTGTGTGGGGAGGGGGGTGGGGCGGGGCGGGGAGGCCCCTGCACCCCTGTCCCTCCACCCATGTACACTATAGCCTTAGGAGTAGCTAATTTCTATCTAATCTCTAGTAATGTGTAGAGGTCATAATATTATTTCATTCTGGAATAAAGCTTTCTTCATCCAAAAGACCCACTTTGGGTTTTAGGTATGCCAATTGCCATGCTATTAGCCACTAAAGTCTAGGTATTCTTTGTGAATTGAATGAGAAGCAGAAGTATATGTGGAACTTTATGTAGTATGAGTGTTAATCTTGACCTCTCTAGTTTATTTAAGCTTTGTCCAGAGACAATTGTGTAATATAAGTTGCTGAAATGTATGGATCCATCTCTCAAAAGAATAAGTTGATGTAGTTTGTGCAAACTTTTTTCTCTCGAATGAACCTATACATCGTACAACCTTAGTTTGTAATCTCTCCATTTCAAATTATAAGATATTTTTATCTTTTTAGATATATTACTTTGACTATATATATCTAGATACAATGTATATTTAAGTGCATAATAAAATCGTACATCTAGAAACCCAAAACATCTTAGAGCAACTTCAACAAGGCCTCTGCTTGATCCTCCAGCTGAATATGGATGCTAAGCCAAAAACTGTCCGTTGAAGTAGCTCTAACGTGGTATATGGAGCGAGTACTAAATAAAAAAAATAAAGAAAAAAAATGTGCACTCGTGACGTGTTGGGCCTAGTCGGGGTGGGACTGTGGATTAGCCCAACTTACCAGTGCGTGCGCGTCCCACTCCGTCTCACTCTCGTCTTTCGTGCCGCCCAAGATGAGCGCCTGAAAAGCCGAAAGCCGCACGCCTCACGGTCAACTGCTCAAGCCAAAGCCGAACACCACCACCAACGCAGCAGCCGCCACCACTTCCCTGCGCGAACCAGAGCCCGTGACCGTCCCCTCCGTTCTCCCGATTCGCCGCCGTACCCCACGAGTGAGGCCGCCTCCTCCTCCTCCCTCTCGGCCAGGCCAGCCCCTAGTCTCTGGGTTCCCCTCTTCTTCGCCGCCGCCGTCGCAGGAGGGGAAGGAGGACACATCGCCATGGTGCGCTGATTTTTTGTCGATTCGACTCCGCAAGAGTTTTGTTCGCGAGCCGCTTCGCCTTTAGAGGTTATATCATTATCTGTCCCGCGTCTGACGATTCTGGTTTTACACACAGGCGGGCAGGCTCCTGGCGAATCTGATCGTCATGGGCGGAACCGTGGTGGGCAGGGCCATGCTCCAGGCCTACCGCCAGGCCATCGTCAGTGAGTGCTCTCTCCTCCTGTTGTAAATAAAAAAAAATGGAATTCCCGGGCTGCTTTGACTGTGCGGTCGCTTGAATCGTGAAACCATGGCGTGTCTCTGCCTGAGGTATTAGTGATTTGTGGTGTAATTGTCAGTGGTTACGAGTTACCTGCAATTCTTTGTTTTTTTTTTTTTTTTTGTGTGTGTGTGGGGGGGGGGGGGCTGGCTCACAATCTAAAAAAAACGAATTTTTGAGTTCTTGTGACCCTAATAGTGTCCTCTGCCTGTTCCAGTTTTCTGATGCGTCATGTGAGGTAGGACACCTGAGTAATCAGTCTTCGTCCTAAGGTTTTGGGATATCACTTGGAGCAGCTTTGTTTATCAAAATACAAATTAGAGATTCTAAAATTTGTTCTTTTTCTTATTGCTATCTGTCAATTTTTCCATGTACATTCTGAAGCATATAATCGATAAAAAAATATATTGAGGCGTTGGTCCATGGAATGCGGGCTGTCAGGCTGTCACAGTTTGGAGTGGCCACTACCCAGCCATTGTGTATTTGTGTTGGTCCTTAGATTAGTGATACAGCGCCGGCGGTGAGGTGAGCGGAGAGGAGAGTGGAGGAGAAGGCTGGACTGGGAATTGGAACGCAGAGGGTAGCGAGGAACCTCGGCGGTGGGAGCTTCTCCGGTGACGGCGGCTGAAGCGCCAGACGCCACCGTCGAAGGGTAAAACCCCACCCCGATGCACAGGGAGGTTTATTCCTTCTTCGATGCCTATTACAGTCTCCTAAGGTGCCCCTTTATAGTCCAGGTGCACTTCCATAACTAAACCAATCTACTAATAAAACCAATCTACTAAAACTCCTCCCTGCCTTTTGTAAACAGCCAGCAGCCGAGCCTATTAGCCACGGCCTGGGCTGAGGCCCTGTTTGGGGCGACGCCTATACTGGCGGCCCACAAACGAGTCCACAACACTTCCCTCCTCCCGGACAAACAGCTCGTCCGCGAGCTGAAACTCAGGATAGCGATCCTTGAAATCTTCTACAGCCTCCCAAGTAGCATCAGCAGGAGCACAGCCGTCCCAATGAACCAGAACTTGCCAGCGGCCGCGGTTGAGGCGAGTGCGGATTACAGCAGCCGGAGTTGGAACCACCCGACCATGGAGGATCGAAGGCAATGGAACCAAAGCAGTGGGCGGCTCCCCCACAAATTTCTTCAAGAGAGCAACATGGAAGACATCATGAATGTGTGCCTTAGGAGGGAGGTGCAGACGATATGCCACCGCTCCAATGCGTTCAATCACCTGATACGGCCCAAAGAAGCAAGGCCCAAGCTTGGATGGTGTAGCAGTAGTAATGCCCACAGCTGTACGGTGATGGAGGCGCAACCAGACCCAATCGCCCACCGCAAACTCAACTGACCGACGCTTCTGGTCTTGATGATCTTTCATCACATCCTGAGCCAACTGCAGCCTGTCGCGGATCTCAGCCAAGAAGACATCCCGATCACGAAGCTGCCGATCCACTGCAGCCACCTTAGCCGAACCAGGAATATAAGACACCAGAGGCGGCGGTGGCCTGCCATAGACCACTTCAAAGGGAGTGGCACGGAGAGCAGACTGGAATGAAGTATTGTAACAAAACTCTGCCCATGGTAACCACTGAAGCCAAGAACGCGGTCGATCACCAGCTAAACACCACAAGTACATCACGATGATGCGGTTAATCACCTCAGACTGTCCATCAGTTTGTGGATGAAACGCTGAGCTGCGGAGTAACCGGACATTGGCCAATTTGAAGAGTTCTTCCCAAAAACTGCTGGTAAATACCGTGCACGGTCACTCACAATGGAACAGGGAATCCCATGAAGGCGCACAATATTGTCGAAGAAGGCACGGGCCACCGAACTCGCTGAATAGGGATGACTCAAGGCGATGAAATGAGCCATCTTGGAAAAGCGATCAACCACAGTGAAGATTACCGACTTCCCGCCAACCCGGGGAAATCCCTCAACGAAATCCATGGCAATGTCATTCCACACATGGTCCGGAATGGGCAAAGGCTGCAGCAACCCAGCCGGATGTAGATGCTATGCCTTGTTCCGTTGACAAATAGCACAGCCACGGACATATTCTCGGACCAACAGATGAGCATGAGCATTGAAGAAGGATGCCCGAAACCGATGAAGAGTTTTCTGGGCGCCCTCATGGCTGCCATGCGCCTCCTGCAGCAGACGCGGCCAAAGCAATGAGGCGTCTGGGACAAAAAGACGCCCCCTGAACAGCACCATGTCGTCCACCAGTGTCCATCCATCTGGCGCTATACCCGCTGCCAATTGCACCCGCAGCTCCTGGGCCTGCTGATCACTCAAGTGCTCCTCCCGCAGATCATCATAGAGGGCGAAAGTCGGGGCTGAAACTGCACGAACAGCAGGCATGTCGGAGTCGCGGCGGGACAGAGCATCCGCCACGGTGTTAAGCTTCCTGCACGGTACTTAACTGTGAGATCATAACCAAAGAGCTTAGTCACCCACGTGTGCTGCGGAATCGTCGTGAGGCGCTGATCGAGGATGTACTTGAGACTCCAATGATCTGTACGGACTATGAAGGAACAACCCCATAAATATGGTCGCCAATGACGTACGGCTTTGACCAAGCCGATGAGCTCCCTCTCATATGCTGGTAGCTTGGCATGATGAGCTGTCACTGCTCGACTGAAGTAAGCCACTGCGCCATCTCCCTGATGAAGCACTGCGCCAAATCCAGCTCATGAAGCATCACAGTCAACAATGAAACGCTTGCTGAAATCCGGAAGCTGCAGCAACGGAGCAGACACCAGCGCCGCCTTGAGCTGGAGAAAGGCCGTCTCTGCCTCATCGGTCCAAGAGAAGGCCTCTCGCTTGAGGAGGGCTGTCAGTGGCGCAGCCACACCACCATAACCGGCAATGAATTTGCGGTAGTAGCCGGTAAGCCCCAGAAAACCGCAAAGGCCCCGCGCCGAACGGGGACGCGGCCAGGCCTCCACCGCAGCCACCTTGTCGCTGTCCATAGAGACCCCATCAGCCGATATGATATGGCCAAGGTACACGATCGACGGCTCACGGAAGAAACACTTGGAGCGCTTGGCGAAGAGATGGTGATCACGGAGTTGCTGCAACACAGTTCGTACATGTTGTAAATTTTCAGCCCACGTGGGACTGAAGATTAGTATATCATCAAAGAAAACAAGTACAAAACGTCAGAGGAAGGGCTTCAACACATCATTCATCAAGGCCTGAAACGTCGCTGGCGCATTGGTCAAGCCGAACGGCATGACCAAGAACTCGAAGTGGCCACGATGCGTCCGGAACGCGGTCTTGGCGACGTCCTCCGGGTGCATGCGCACCTGATGATACCCACTGTGGAGATCAATCTTGGTGAAGAAGCGGGCACCTTTGAGCTCGTCGAGAAGCTCGCCGACGACCAGAATAGGAAACTTGTCCTTGACAGTGCAATCGTTGAGCGCCTGGTAGTCGACACAAAAACGCCAAGTGTCGTCCTGCTTGCGAACCAGGAGCACCGGGGAGGAAAAGGGCGATGTCGACTCCCGGATGATCCCCTGGGCCAGCATATTGTCGCACTGGCGCTCAATTTCATCTTTGAGCAGCTACGGATACCGGTACAGCCGCACCGCCACCGGAGGAGAGCCCGGCAACAAGTGTATGCGGTGGTCGTGGCAGCGGACCGGGGGTAAGCCACGGGGCTCGTCGAAGACGTCCTTGTAGGACAGCAGCAGATCTTCTAGGATAGTGCGGGGGTCGGCAACGGCAGTGACAGCCATGCCCCGACTGCCCAAGCCGCTCCAATGATGGGCGCGACCATTGAGCCAAAAGGCCATCAAAAGGGCGTCGAAGTCCCAGACGATGGACCCCAAGGTGCGTAGCCACTGGTCGCCAAGGACGAGGTCGAACCCACCTAAATCGAGGGCGAAGCAGTCGATGGAGAAGCGCAGGTCGTGGATGAGGACGTCCGTGGCGAGGCACATGCCGGGGCTGTTCACTCGATCGCCGTTAGCCACCATCACTGACAGCCCCGCGCGCTCGGTGACCACCAGGCCCAAACGAGCAGCCACCTCAGAGTGAATGAAAGAGTGCGTGGAACCCGTGTCAACCAAGGCCTTGAGTTGAACGCCACCGATCACCACCTGCAGCATCATGGAAGTAGCAGACCCAAGGCCAGTGAGGGCGTGTAAGGATACCTCCAAGTCGGTGACGTCGTCTCCGAGCGGGTCCCCCTCGCCTTCTGCAAGCTCCATGAGGAAGACGCCCTTCGTAGCGCACTTGTGATCCCTGGAATAAGGCTCCGGGCAGAAGTAGCACTGCCCATTCTGTCGCTTCTCTTGCATCTCGGCCCGCGTCAAGCAGCGAAAGCGAGAGCGTGGCCCTTCTGGCTTGCCGTCCTGCAGACCCGCACCAGAGCCTGCGGCGCTGGATGAAGCAGTGGCGCGGTGAGTAGAAGATTTGGGCGCCGCCGAACTGTTGACAGTGGAAACCTCCACTTGGCGCTGCTCGTACGCCCGTGCCAGACTCATAGCTTGTTGCAGGTCGACGGGATGCTGCAGTTCCACGTCGGAGGCCAGTGGCTGACCCAGGCCACCGGTGTACAGATCGATCGTGGTCCGTGTATTGAGGTGGTCGCAGCGAGAGAGCAAGACGAGGAAGCGCCGCGAGTACTCCACCGTGCTTGTCCGAAACAGGGCCTTGATCTCCCCGATGGAGTTGGAGCGGATGGGCGGCCCGAAACGGAGGTTAACGAAATCAACGAAGCGTGGCCAAGAGACCATGCCGAAGTCGCGCTCCATCTGTTAATACCACTCTGCAGCAGTGCTGTCCAGGTGTAGAGACGCCATCCACACCTTCTCATCCTCTGGAACGCGATGCCCTCGAAAGTAGTTTCGCACTTGTTGAGCCAAGTCAGAGGATCTGATTCGCCGTTGAAGGTGGGGAACGGGATCTTAGGTGGGCGATGGGGTTCCCGGCGGCCATCAGGATGACCACTGAAGCGGTCGCCGCGGTCGAAGGCATGTGTGCCGTGGTCATAGCCGCGTGCGGCCAAAGCCACGCGTGTCCTCGTGGTCGTAGCCGCGCGCGAAGTCACAGTCGGGGCCGCGCGCGTAGTAGTCGTGGTCGTAGCGACCCGACTCGCGATGACCAACACGATCGCGCGAGTCCAGGAATCGCTCGTGATCGCGAATAGCCCGATCGCGGAACTCTGCCCAGGTGCGGTCCCGATCGAAGTCCCTGCCATCGTGATCATCCCGGTCATTGCGGTGAGCATCCCCGCCGCCACGGGTGTCGTCCTCGCCGCTGCTCTTGCCGGCGTCGGGTTTCCCCGTCTCCACACGCGTGAGCCGGGCGTCATGGGAGTTGAGGCGGTTGTTCATGGTGGTGAGCTGGCCCAGAATACGATCCAACTTGGCATCCATGGCCGCAGGATCGGGTGGGACGCCGGCCATTGGAGGCGATGCGTCCGTGGAGGTCTCTGATACCAAATTGATACGGCGCCGGTGGTGAGGTGAGCGGAGAGGAGAGTGGAGGAGAAGGCTGGACTGGGAATTGGAACGCAGAGGGTAGCGAGGAACCTCGGCGGTGGGAGCTTCTCCGGTGACGGCGGCTGAAGCGCTAGACGCCACCGTCGAAGGGTAAAACCCCACCCCGATGCACAGGGAGGTTTATTCCTTCTTCGATGCCTATTACAATCTCCTAAGGTGCCCCTTTATAGTCCAGTTGCACTTCCATAACTAAACCAATCTACTAATAAAACCAATCTACTAAAACTCCTCCCTACCTTCTGTAAACAGCCAGCAGCCGAGCCTATTAGCCATGGCCTAGGCTGAGGCCCTGTTTGGGGCGACACCTATACTGGCGGCCTACAAACGAGTCCACAACATTAGGGACGTCGGCACATTGCTTGCACTGCTCTGTTGTTAAATTGCAATCAAACATGTGAAAATTAAGTACTTTCAAACAATTCTGCATTTGTGAACTGATAAGTGATGGTTAGCTCCATAATATGTATGTTTCGTTCAGTAGGATATATTCATGTCTCACTTTAGAAAATCACCATGATGGCTTTTCCTAGTATTGAAAGATGTGAAGTCCTTGTATACATGCATAGAAAAGCCAATTTCATACTGTTCACATTTGTGTCTTATCAAATTATTAGTGCGCAGCATAGCCCTTGTTTTCCTGCAAAGTGTCATAACTCTGTAAGTAGTTTTGGATTCTGTGTTTGGAACTTCTATGCGGAACCTGATTTTAACAGAATTGATTAGGTTATGTGTATGACAATAGCTGTATAAATAAATGCTAACTTATAGATTGTTGTTGCAAGATGAATGAAGGTACTATAATGCTTCTGAACTAAATGGCTTACCTGACTTACTTAATCCGCTATTTACCTATAAAGAGTTGGCTTTCATTCCAAAAAAAAAAGAAAAAGAAAAATGACTACATTATCCATGTGCCATATTCCTTTTGAAAATCAATTAATCATTTCTGATTTTTTCCTGTAGATGCAAACAAAACTGGAGCTGCCCAAGAAGCTATAAATGGTATTAGACGGGCTAGCAAGGCCATGACCGAGCAAGAAGCCAGGCAAATTCTCGGTATCAGTGAGAAATCTACGTGGGAAGAGATTGTCCAGGTGTGTGACACTGTTTTTATGATGCACAAAATATGTCCATGCAGCTTTTAGCTTCTGCCAACTCCATTATGTTAGAACCTTCCGTACGAAACCATTGGCTGAGCCAGAACTAACATCAGGTTTCCCCTGTTTGAATGCTTTGCAGAAGTATGACACAATGTTTGAGAGGAATGCCAAGAATGGGAGCTTCTATCTCCAGTCAAAGGTTCACAGAGCGAAAGAATGCCTGGAACCTTTATATCAAAAGCCCGATGTACTGAACTGAGATTGTGCAGACGCCCTAGCTTCTGTTTGAAGCAGTATGCCTAATCGATCGATTTGCCGGCGCGCCCAGAGATCATCGTTCAGTTTTGAGTTATATGTTGGGCGCATCAGGTTGATTGGCTGTAATGCCAGAATAATGTTTAACAAATATATACGAAATTTTGGCTGATTCTCATTGGCAACGCCTCAGTCACTGTGGTTGTAATTCATAGTATTTTAGTTGGCTGTGATGGGATAATTTTTGTTTTGGACAGCAGGTCCCATTCCTGCCTTTGTGTTGAGAGGTGGCTTTGCTGCACTGGAATAATCATTGTGTTGGTAGTATTTGCTTATTTCAGATCAACCTTTTCCATGCTACGATCAAAGGCTATGCAGGATCAACGCTGCTGGTTGCTGTGTGCTACAGGTTTTTTTTTTTGCGAATCACTGTGCCTGCCACGATAATCACTGTGCCTCGATGAGCCTGTTCGGCAGGACTGAAAAATAAGCAAAAATACTGTTTCGGCTGATTGTTGTGAGAAAAAATATATGGTTCTATCTAAAAAACACTGTTCACGTGAATAGTGCCGCTATGAGAGCGTTGGCCAGCCCATACCCAGCTGGCCAGCCAGCCGAACGTGAACAATTGCGATCAGAGGGGCCTCCGTGATATCAAAGTATCAGTTTCTCAACCAAGCAACACTGAGATTATCCTCACCCTTAAGTATTAGTTTGTCAACCAAGCAACACGGAGAATATATTCTCATTCTCACTCAGATCCCGAGCATTTGTTTGTTTTTGCTTATAATCGCCATACTGTGGGGATTTTTTTCGATTTTCAGTTTTGCTACGTCAATCTTTGGATTCTGATGTGAACCAATTTTCGCATGTGGAAGTCACTTGTGAAATATAGAATCTTCTTATATGAATCCTGCCTCCAAAAGCTGGCCAGCCAGCGTGCCACGTCACATGCTTTTCGAGGCCGTTCGATCGGACGCGCGGACGGCCCAGATCGGGCGAGCCGTGGTCTTTTTGCAAACAAAACCTCGAGCTTTAGTCGAATCAACCCGTAGTCCAGGCCTCCTCTCAATTTTTTTTCAAAAAAGACCTCAAACTCCTCCTCCTCCTCCACCGCTGCTCTCCCTCGCCTGCCTCTCACCTCCATCTCGCCCTCCCCTTCCTCTCTCTCTCTCCCCCCTTCCCTCCTGATGCGGCGGCGGGTGCCAGGCGACGGCGCCCCTGCGGGCGCTGCGCCGGCGCGAGTGGGGCCCAGCGGCCCTTCTACCTCTCCCCCATCCTCTCGACGTCGCCCCGCAATGCCGCTGCTGCCCCCTCCCTACTCCGGTCCCTCCCCCGCAGCCCGGCGAGCCAGATCCATCCGGCCAAGAGGTAGACGTAGACCTGGCCGGCGTAGCGACCTATGGCGACACGGAGGACCGATGCGGGCGACTGTCGTCGCGAGGCGGCCTCGACCCTGCAACCTGGACGGCCGAGCCATAGGCGCCTGTCCCGTGCGGGGATGCTGCGGACGGCACCAGGACGGCCACGCAAGGAGGCGCCCAGGCAGCAGCGGGGTCAGCGCGTAGCACTGCACGTCGCGGTGCTGGGGCGCCTGCTCCACACATTTCCGACGCTCCAGAGCCTCCACATAGCAGCATCGTCCTCGCTCAACGATGCCTAGATTGTCGTGGCCTTGTACCGCACATGGAGGAGCCAACTGATGCAACCGTGGATGCCCACGCTACTTCAAAGTAGCACTGACTTTCGGCATCCACACTGTCGCTGTTGTGGAAAAGAAGCTGAGCATGGCTCCCATGAGGAAGAAGGCAAGTAGCGCCGGCGCTATGCAGCTTCCCCATGCCTCTGTGCTCCCTCCCACGCCGTAGAGCGCGCCACCTAATGCCCCAGCAACTGCTTGGGAGTAGGGACACTCACATGGACGACACCCACCATGTGCTCGATCAAATGACTACAAGGTTTAGCTCTCTTTAGTGGACAGTTATACTATTCATATGAAGGGCTTTTTTATCTAATAGAAAACTTTAGTCTTTGATTCATTAGAATCTACTAAAACGTACTAAGTTTCAATCCATTTCTACGTTGAAACACCTCTCATGTGCCTTTTTCTTGACTAAAAGACTTGCTGGTTGAATTTTGCAGAATGAAAAAAAAACACTTAAGATGTGCCTGGGCAGCACCATGTGAACTAGGAGGTACACATACTGTGTGATGCACTTCTAAAATCATTTGTGTTGATCACTTCAGATTGTATTTAATGGCATGCTTTTAAATAGTACGATCTGTGTCCTCGGTGTGCTTTCAAACTCTTGCAGAGCTTCAACATCCGAGGAACTACTTTCCTGAGAGGTTATCTTCCCTTGCCAATTATATACAGCAGCATGATTTTAGGACTTGGGCAAAAACATCTTAGTGTTGAAAAATAATATAGCTTTTAATTAAGCTGGGGGTAGTAATATATTTTGATGCTAGGTAGTTATATATTATAGGATTAGGACTAGCTTTGTTTGGGGCAACCTCAGAAGATGCTTCATCTCCCTTTACTTGCAATCACCATCTTACAAGTTTGGCCTTATAGTACATTGCTTCCACTGCAACTCAGTATCTGAAATGATTGATAGTCCGGTTTTTCAATGCTCAAACTTGCACATTTTATCAACACCTATGCATATATCAGATAATTTCGATGATAGAACTCACAACATAAAACTCTGCAATATTATCCAATACCTCTGTTGCTGACAATTTCATTGTCATGGCCTGGATTGTGTTGAAGATTCAGATGTTCCATGGATTTCAGTTTGCTGATTCTATTTTAGTTTTTGCCACATGGATTTCATCACCCTTATCCAATATTTCTGCTTCTGTTTGATGAAATTTCCATGGCCTAATTGCTTCTAGCAGGTAGTGATGATTGCTCTATTTATCGGTTGCGTGCTCCATGCCACAACTCCATTCAAGGGTAGCGGTGGAGTCATCAAAGGCAGTGGCCAATGATCCAGCAGAGGGGGCAGCATGGTCACGCAGCTCACATTCAGCTAGCGTCTCTCCGTCGAAACTTGGTCACATTGCACTACCTATGGCAAAGCGATGGATAAAGTGATTAGTCAATGAGGTACACTGATTCTAACAAGCGTTACGTTGTGACCGTGATTTGAACATAAACTCCATATGGAGTTCACAAACGATTGAATTACATGCGCAACTTATGTATCCTATTTATTCTTAGAGGAAGACAAATACACTCTGGTGGATGGCGTCAATACTATGCTCCAGATAGCTGTGAAGCTGTTGAACAAGAAGCCAAAGCCAGTTTTTTTTAAAAAAACGAGAAGCCAAAGCCAATTGGGCAACAGATGCTGGAAGACAACGTTATCATCGTCAGAAGGACTAAGCTGCTGTCGGCGCTGTTTCTTTTTCTGGATCCGATCCTTTTGTTGTTGTTTTGGTTGCCCCATCTGAGACAGATGTACGTTGGGTATGGCCAAAAGCTTTAGCGTTGAAGAACTGTTTAGTTGGCTTCTTTAGCTTTCTCCACCTCCTATGCTCTTCCAGATATACTCTTTAATGATGTATTTCCGTTTGAAAAAAAAACGGTTCGAAAAAAAATGTATCCTATTTATTTTTCTTCATGCAATTTTTAAGGTTTTATGTTACCAATGTATATCTCTTTGTCCATTGAAATGCCATGATTTCCATAATATCATTGTGATCGGTATACCAATGACAAGCTGATGTTGCATCAGAAACTTGTATTTTGTTGTCTATAAAATTTCATCAATGTTCTCCCACAAATATTGCAACGACAATGGTAACTAAATGGTGTTCCCAACTTCCCGCTTATTATAAAAATTGAGATATGTGTTAAAAAATATTAGTCTTGCATCATTAAATAGATATATTTATTGGAAGCAGCTGCTCTGTACTGATACTCTCACGTAATCGCGCAACGCCGACTGGCCTAACATAGGCAGGCGCGCGGCAACGCCGCGCTTGTTTCTAGTAGATTATCCAATCTTTCGATTCTGATGTGAAACAATAGTTTGGCAAAATTAAGTTTCTTTCCGTCTTTGTAAAAAAAAAAGTTTCTTTCCGTCTTTCACAAAGCTGTTGGTCCGGAATTTGAAGCCATAGTTTCAATTCCGCGAATATCTTTATTTGTTAACGCCAAATATGTTACAAGGGTAGTGGATCACTGGTCTTGCGATTATTTGTTTTGTCTCTACACGAAGCACGGCACCTGGAGGTTGGAGTAACGTTAAGATTACTAAACAAGATATTGTTGTATTAACTTCTTGAGGGACATTGCACAACACAACACGGGTACATAAAGTTACTTATATAGAGATTGATACACATACTGTAGTAGTCATACCCGTCATGGATCTGTATCTCGACTCCTCACCAGGTGGGATTTTAATTACGGCACTCCGGCTCATCCTTAGGTCTTGATCCGTATAGATAGTTATTTGCGAGCACCCTATAGATAATAGTTATCTACTAATAATTATCTTTTTTGGATCTAAACAGGTATAGATAATATACTAGCTAATTGTTAGCTTGATCTTTCAATAACAACTATCCTACTAGGACTCTGTTTGGATTTATTATTTGCTAATAGTTAGCTGGCTAATAGTTCATATTTAGAGGGTGTTTGGGACTGCTCCGCTCTCTTTTTTAGCTCCGCTCCACTAACTCCACTATAGAGCAGCTCCACTGTAGAGTTTGTGAAGCAGGTGGTACTGATTGGCACACAGCCTAGCTCCAACTCCAAAAATAGAAGCTTTTTCTTGAACGGCCTAATATGCCCTTAGATGATGTGTGACATATGTTTTGACGTTTGTAAGTATATATGTGTGTGTGTGAATGATTGTTCTTTAACAGTTGAATATGATGCAAAATATTATAGTTGCAAATAATTTAGTCAAAATAATTATAAGGCATCTTTTGCACATTTTCTAATATGTCAAAACGGCACGCTCCTCGTTTGGACCAATGTCATTT